GAATAATAACACTCATTGCTAAATTTTCCCGAGTTCGTCTTTATCTTAAATGCTTATCATGAGAATTTTTATGTTAAATTAAAATCGCCAGCTAAAGTGAAAAAATAAAATGTTGTAGAAAAGTGCTATATACAATAATTTAATTTATGAGCTTACAAAATGCTTTAAATCTCTGTAAATGAAATTACTGGATAAAATAACAACAAAAAAATTACTTACCATACCGTAAGCGTAGGCGATGACACGCATTGTGTAAGCGGGCAGATTCAAGCACACGAAGACCGACGACACGATGAGCAGCATTCTTGTGACCCGTTGTTGAGAACGAGGACACCCGACCTGGCGCGCGAGGAAAGCGTGGCTCCCTAATACAGCAAGATGATCGGTCCTCATGAGCTCGCCTCGCGCTCGCTCTATTCGCCAAACCCCAACCATGATCCAAATATTCAGCACAATAATCACCGCAAGAGGGACTGTGAATGATACCACCGTATCAACCATATTGAAGCGTGCGGCATGTGCAAGATATTCATAGTCGATGTTGCAGTCGTCCGGCGTGGGAATAGCAAAGCGCAGCACTGGTATGTTGAGAAGAAGCGATCCGAGGGCAATACCACCAATTACATACCGAGCACGTTTTACAGAGCAAACCATATTACGATGTAGTGGGTAGATAACAGCTACGAATCTTTCTATAGTAAATGCAACGACAAGCCAAGCACTGAAGGAGCAGGTCACGTAGGAAATGTATATGAAAATCTGACAGAAACCCTCTTGATGGAATAAGCCGGTGATATGTACGGCGTTGAGCCATGGCGGGAGAAGTTGTAGCAGGAATATTGTATCGGACACCGCTAAAGCTGACAAATACTGGCTCGTAGATTGGAGACGAAGCTTACTTCTGTAAAACACGAACACGGACACCAGGTTTCCGATGGAACCAAGTAAAATCAGAATAGGCGTATAGTATACATTCAGGGCGCTCGCGATTTGCCGCACGGCTGAATCAAAAAGAGGGGGCTCTGTCGTGTAATTAGAATTTAAGTCCGACAAAGTTTCCACGGCCTCAAAGTTGGTGCTATAGTCGAGCGGGAGGGCGGTCATGTTGAAGCCCGCCGCCGCTCGCTAGCGATCTCACCGATAACTGCCGCCACGACGAAGAGGGCTGCTTTATAAGGGTAGCGAGGCCCGGAGCGCGCAAGCCTCCGCAGCTCCACACACCTGCACTCTGCACCGATGCAACGCTCCCCCAGGGATTCCGCCCGCCCTTATTCGAATTTCACCCATAGCTTCATAGAAACACAGCTTATTTCCTTTCGCTGAATTAATTAAAACGTTATTTATTTTGCATTGATTTATGGTGTTGGTGGTGTTTAGTAACCGCCTACTTTTATGATTCGGTTCGTAGTAAACTGTAGCTGTTGCTACGGCGTAGTTCATCCTTATAGAGTATTCGTATTTATAGAAAGAGACAAACGCGTTTCAATTATTTTAGCTAAATAGAATTGCGTTCGTACATTTTACTGCCATGTGTAGAAATATTTTACTTTGAAATATTATGGGAATTGTTTTTTTTTTAATTCTCTTAACTTTGATTTAGCAGAATCAATGCCAAAATAAGATATAATTTTTTTTTTACAATATGTAGAAATTGCGACCCAATAAATATTATTGAAGTTTTTTATAGAAAAGTTTTCTGATCCACAATTACATTTTACTAAACTTGGTAAATATTCAGCGGGGAATCGCAACCAGCGATCTCGGGGCTATGCCGCGAGGGATGGAACTATCGCGGTACAGTAGCTATTAGCAACCTCAAAAACTTGATTATGACTATATTTACTTTTCTCGACAATTAGTAGCTACTTTCTTTAAATTTGGGCTTATTGTAAAGTTAAGGAACTTTATAAATAAATCCTTTCTTTTGTTTTAATTATTATGAAAATTAATAGGTGTCTGTAAGAGGTGACAAAGAGAAATCAAAACATTATCACATGACTAAGTATACCACACTTTTAAAGCAGACAAATTACAAGTTCATAAAACACAATGTAATAACAGTAGTAATTTCAACCGTCTTTATTAAAGGAAGATGTTCTCAATTCGTCTCGATGTTTTAAGTTTAAATAAACTACGTAATAGAAATTTATTAGGCGGTGCTTGACTGCAATCGCACTTGGTAATGAGTAGCGCTAAAACCCTAAAAGTTAAATCGCCCTGTCTTAGAGTAACAAAGCCTCACTTGCTTTGAAGACGCTCGGCTTTTAATCCGGATATAAATACAGACGCCGGTAGATTATTCCACTCCTTTGTAGTGCGCAGTACGAAACACGAAACACCTTTTGGTTCGAATATGTGGGATATCGATAATATTGGTATTTATGTAACGTGAAATCTTCGCCAATTGTGAACTTAATGTATTAATTTCTTTATTCAAATAGTTTATACCTAAAGGGTGGTAGTCTTGTAGTGTAAATAGGGGATAAAATTTTTAACATTACCGTCGGGGAAACTACAAAGTTAAAAAAATAAGTTTCTATTACTTAGTCCATACGTTAGTGAATTTCCGTGTATTAGCAGCGTAATTCCATAAACCTATTAAGTTCCGTGAAGCGTTGAAAGGGAACGCTTCGAAGATCTTGTAGCTTTCAATTAGGGATCCACGGTTTTGCCGACATCAATAATCGGTGTAAATAGTTTGATTAATTATAACAAGCCAGTGCTCTTTATAATTAAACAAATATGTTATGGTGTTATTTACATTTTAAGTGCCAACTAGCATTCGAACACTCACTCTTCTTGTGTGTATAGTTGGGTTTTGAAGACAATAGACACCCACATCTTAATCGAAAGGAAAGCCAGACGCCCGAAAATTAACCTGTCCGTGCCATATTTAATAAATATCATATAGGTCCTATGGCAATATATAGAAGATAAAGCAAGGTCCAAAGTCAGAGACAACGCGAAGCACATATATACAGCTGATAAAAGTGATTCTGATCACTAGATTATGCGATCGTGTAATAATAATCCGATTCAATTTTACGATAACATTTGTTGATAGACGACGATCACGCGGCCTTTCAAAAGTTCGTAGGTTGTCAATTCGGAGGCTTTCGCTCTGACTTGCCTGGCCGGAATTCGACCACCAAATTATTAACTGAGAAGGAAAAATGAAAATTTAGTTTTGGAAACCATTTATAGCCCTACTTCACAATAATGATTTTATGCCAGTAAAAGGTTTGTTTGAAAGTCACATAAAGGCTATTCATGTGAAGCAGACATCGAAAAAAAAAGTAAATTCTAATATTCATATTCAGCCTAATTTTAATAAAATCAGCTAGTAAACTTAAACTAGCAAGTATAAAGCTATGATTGATTGGTTCTGGTGTGTATCGTCACAATTCTCTCCGTGTACGTTTCACAATGAGTAGGTTGAGATGAAGTTATAGCTAGGGAATTATTATTAAACCCTATTATCTATCAAATTAAGGGCTTCTTTTTCTCTAACTTCCTTACAGGTTAAATATGTCATAAAGCGACTGAATCGTCTCCCAGGCGAGCCCCAATCTAAATTACGAATTCTTCTGCTTCAAAATTTCGTTGTTTTATGTTTTCTTTTTCTCTTCTGCGTCAATATTAGAAAAATATCTACATCAAATTACATATTATGGTGAATATCATGAACAATATGCTGTAAATTTAACGAGAATCACTAAATGCCACTTACATACACATTAGTACATTGGTTGGCATTTAGTAATTTTCGTTAAATTTATATATATATATATATATATATATATATATATATTTCTTTAATCATATCTTATTATTAATATTTGTTCCTTTAGAACTACGATGGAGTACCTTTTTTGGGAAAATGTTAACTAAAACTAAAGTTTTATTTATTCTGTTTTAATATTTTGATATCTGACGCTTGTATCTAAAAAATATTTTTAACGATTCCCATTTTACTCAGCAAAAGTAATATCGCGAAAATTGAATTATCACTTCATGTCCATATTCAGGTTACTGCATTATGTTATACATTAGGTATGCCGTATTTCTGTCATCTACGTGAAAATGTACCTGAGACAAACATGCTGAGAAGTTAGGCATTGAATATTAGTGTTCAAATCGTTACTAGATACTACGTAGACCACATGAACAAAGCCGCGGATAAAGGATTTCGTTTAATATATTATAAAACTAGTAAAAATTACAAATATCGTATAGCCCTACTCGCCGTATAGTGCCAACAGCTTCGACTTGCTTTCCTCTTTAAACTTTTATAGCCCTTATAGACTTACCACCGACCTTGATAAAAGTTATTTATTTTTACATTAGTAAAGTACATAAATAACAAGAAGTTTGCCCAGGTTACTAACGTACCTAGCAACCTGGACTCGATCGATACCAACCCTATTGAAACTGTTAATGATATTTCAAGTTTTTGACTAACTTACCTAGTGGAAGAAGGCAAAAATATTATTTTGATTTAAAAATTAAAAATACATAATTGCGCAAGAGGAGGAGCACTTTTACTACTTTTTTTACTTACCACACTACAAGAAATGATAGATTAATTATTTTTATAGCTATTAAAAACTTAATATATACAAAGTTAATACCTTTAAAATTGGCCATTCGAATGTAAAATAAGCGCTATCAACATCACAATAAATTAGATTTAAACGTTACTTTGCGAAAATCATTATGATAACAAAGATATGAAAATAAAATAGCTAGAATGTGTAAAAAAATCTTGTTTCACATCATTTCAAAATCAAGTTATAACGTTCGATAATTTTACAAAAAGCTTTTTTTACTGAGATCCTCCACCCCTCAGCCGCCTATGATCCACATCTCAAGTTACACTGTGTATAACTTACACTGCAATTATACGGTAGAAAACAATGTAATGTAGCGTATACGGGAACTTAGGGTAAGCAATTACTATATTATTATTAGACGTATTTATATTTTTTCCCTTTTCGCAGGTTCAGAAAAGGGAAGAGGAACTTTAGATGTTCTGCTCTGCACCACCTACTGTCGCTCGCAACTCTACCTTTCCCGTCAGTTGTCGCAGTTACACCCGGAGCTTACCATGCCAATGTTTTCTGGTGAGTACTAATTTTTTATATTTGTTTTTAATTATATTTTCCTAACAAAATTATATTTATTTAATTGACGGTTGAGAATTACACAAGGCTTAGTTTGATGAAGGCAACGTATGCACGACGGCATCAAAGGTACCCAATCAGTACCAACCTATCTACAACACAAGGCATTTACATAGAACTTCCTTTGCTGCACTCCGTACATATACGAACCCTCGGATATATGTTCGTTGCTAGTTTAAAATGGTGATTCTACTATTAATCATTTGTTGCGGATATAGCTGCATGTGAAGTTGGCATCAATAGTACAGGTGCGAGACTCGATTCTGCTCTTGTCTGCCTGTCAAGCGTGAAGATCAGGTCAAATCCCTCCAAGGGTCTACATTCAGCAGAATACTCTTATGACCTGACGAATGAAAATAAGCGTAACCAACTTCAAAAAAGGAGGAGGTTATCAACTCGGATTTTTATATATTTTTAGTTCGCCCACACGCATTGTGGCAGCGCGGCGGACACTTCCTTGCCCTAAAACCTTCTCAGAAATGGGGGAAGGCTTGTGCACAGCAGTGGGACGTATATAGGCTGTAACTTTTATATATTTTTTAACGTATGTTCGTCATGTACCAGGCGGTCCCATAATGAACTGGCCTGATATAGTTCAACGCGACATGTCGCTACCTGTTATGTTGCATTAAATAGTACGTTTATCGTGCACTTAATATAAGAAATGCTTAGTCTTAGTTTAACAGGCATTTGAATAACGAGAGTCGCGTATTTTTTCAAAATGTCGAAAACTGAGTATCGAAGTGTCATAAAGTTTCTGTTTAAAGAAGGTTTATCCCCTGCCCAAATAAAAGAACGATTGGATGGCGTGTATAAGGAGTCTGCCCCCTCCTATAGCACAGTGAAAAATTGGGTGAAAGAGTTTCGCCTCGGGAGAGAAACCGTCGAAGACTTTGGCCACGACGGTCTACCTGTGGAAGTGCTCACTCCCAAAACGATTGCTCTTATCGAAGAGGAGGTTCTGAGTGACCGCCGTTTGAAGATTAGAGAAATTGCAGCAAGGCTTGAGCTCTCTAAGAGTACCGTTCATCGCGCGATCCATGAACATCTTCACATGAAAAAAATGAGTGCAAGATGGGTACCGAAACTTCTTTCAACGGTACAGAGACAGGAAAGAGTGCGCTGCGCTTCGGAGTTTTTGGATCTTTGTGGCGAAAATCCAAAGACTGTGATCGAGCGGCTAGTGACTGGTGATGAAACTATGATCTTGTATTATGATCCACAAAGCAAGCGCGAGTCAATGGAATGGCGTTATAAGGGTGAAAAGCCCCCTAGAAATGCAAAGGTGCAACAATCGACTTTCAAGGCATTTTGATGGTGGATTTTAAGGAACGTAATACAGTCGTGAACGGCGAATATCATGCTTCTTTAATATATAAATTACAAGACAAGATAAAGGAAAAACTAAGAGGCAAGCTGTCTAAAAGGTGTCCTGTTGCTCCATGATAACGCCCCTGTTCATACCGCTGGTGTTTCGAAGGATGCAATTCGTCAATGCGGGTTCACAGAAGTTCAACATCCACCTTACAGTTCAGACATGGCCCCGTCCGACTATTATTTATTTCCAAATTTAAAGCGGGACTTAAGAGAAGAAAATTTTTAAGCGATGAAGAGTTGCAGGCGGCCGTCTGTCATTTTGAGGATAAAAAATGTGATTATTTTTATAAAGGTTTAGAGATGTTGATTCACAGATGTCAGAAGTGTGTTAGTAGTCATGGTGATTATATTGAAAAATAAAATTGGTTTCGTTTCATTTCCTTCATTGGTTCATAGTTAGGCCAATTCGTTATTGGACCGCCTACGTATGAATGGATTTGGAAAATTCTTTCTTTATTTTGTTCGAATAAGGTTTATACCGAAATGGTTCCATTTAAATTTCGTGAAGATCTAATGATGAGTTTCGGAGACATACAACGAAACTTCAATAAATGCCAGCAAATCAAAAACGATTGCTGCTGTTATATATCTATGCATTGTTTATGCAATCACACTACGTAAAATCACGCTTGCACCCTCTAAAGGGGTAAGGAGATGTGTTCAGTATACCACGGTACACTCTCATTTCTGTCCAAGTTGTTATATTGAACAAAATTTTTAATTTTACCATTTGTTTATTCTGTTAGGTTTTAAATTGACAGACGAAAACTTACAAATTTGTCAGAAGAACTGCTTTATTAAAGGCAAAATTGTACTCACAAGTTCACATTATTCTAATCACTGCAGACTACATCTGAGTGAATGAAACTTAAAACAGGCGTCCGTACAGTTCGAATTGAAGAGCCGTATCACACCAGCGCTCCGGAGTTTTTTTTAATAAGATAAGGTGACAAACGAGCACACCGTCCACCTGAAGGTAACTGGTTGCTGTTACCTGTAGACATCTACATCTATTCTCGATTACGAATCAAAATGCAGATGCGTTGTGACCGTGAGGACTAAGATGGAATGCCTCGTTTCCAAAGTGAGTGGTTTGGATATACATATAAAAAAGTTGGGCCTGAAAAGCCTGAAAATCAGATTGTCTACTGGAAGCCTAATTGTTTCACGTTCGCCTAAATTGATGTATACAATCAGCTTGATCAACTTTGAGAGCACAGGCTTCGACAAGTTTATTAAGGCAAATTTTAAAAGCAATTGTCCACGTCTTAATAAGCCATTTTAATGGAATGTCTAGACCTACGCGCTAATAGAAATAAATCAATGACGTTTTTTATTATTGAATTCCTCTTAAATACTTCACATTTATTAAATTGAAGTATATTATGATACTGAAACAGATAAAGCAGCTCTGTTTTTTCGATCTCATATTTTTGTCTTAATTTTACAATCTCGTTAGATTATTATTTAGAACCTTCCCGCCATTATGGTGTATGGACTATGGACATATACATAAACATAAACACTCACGCCTGTCACCCAGAGGGGTAGGCAGACACTACTGACTTCCATTTGCCACGATCCTGACACATCTCTCTCGCCTCTTCCACATCCATATACCTACGCATACATGTTGGTCGAATAAGGGTACTCTTAATTTGGCCTCTTTTCAATAAATCGCCAATTTGGTCGACAAACTTTCCCTTAGCGACTATGCCGTTCACTTCTGCAACATAAATTTGCTTTGTCATTATTTCCTCATTCATGATTTCTACATCACGTCACAACATCATCTTGCATACCACACTCTTCTCTGATTACACAATTTCTCACCCTGTCACTCAGATTTAGCCGCATTTCTACTGCATTTATTCTACTCTCGTGCTTCTTCTGCCATACCCAACTTTCACTACCATACGTTAAAGTAGGAACACAACATTGTGAATTGCCATAGTGCCTTTTTTTGACACATTCTGACTTGCCACAATAGAGTGTTGAGCCCCATTTATTCTATTTCCTTCGTTCACTCGTCGTTCTCTATCATTATCATATTTGATCCCATCCCTGCTAAATACGCATCCCAAATATACAAAAGCCATCTACTTGCTCAACCAACTCTCCTTCTACTCTTATTTCACATATTGTTTTACTTTCTTCTCTGTCTAAAACCATACCTTTCGTCTGACTTGCGTTCACTTTTTTTTATAGAAGAGGGGGCAAACGAGCATGCGGCTCACCTGATGTTAAGTGACTACCGCCGCCCATGATCAACCGCAACACCAGGGGAATTGCAGGTGCGTTGCCGGCCCTTTAGAAAGGAGTAAGCTCTTTTCTTGAAGGTCCCCAAGTCGTAGCGGTCCGGAAAAATCGCCGGTGGTAAACTATTCCACAGAGAGGTTGTACGCGGAAGAAAACGTTCACTTTCATTGCCCTCTCTTTCAACGACCTGTTCATTAATGTAACCATCATTTGCAGCTCGGCCGCCGACGATGCAATGGATATGATGTATGGAGTATTTTTATTTCTTTTTATGTACTAAAAAAGTATTTTTGTATTGACTAATTATAGTTAGTAAAGTCTTTAATAATCCAGAAGAACATTTAAATGTAATATCATATTATATTATTTTATGCCTCTGGAAAAAAATGCACGAAGAAATAAACGCGTTGCGAAAGGCATCGACCATATACATAAATACCCCATTGTATACATTGGAATCAATTAATAATGTGGAGATAGCTGTAAATTATGGTTTATATATGGAGCAGTTCGATGACTGACCACGGGAAAGAAAAATGTTGCACTAACGACGGCTCCGTGTCGCAGTGGCTTAGCAATGAGTGGCTGCGTTGGGGGCTGCGGGTCGGAATCCCGCACGGAACAAGTATTTGTATGTCTTACAAGTAATTGTTCCGGATCTGTATGTTTGTCCTTGTGAAATTGCCCCCACGATACAGGATAAAATCCTAGTGTGGAGGTAACGTTTTTTAAAAAAGACTAAAAAAATAATCTTCCGAAGAAGAACGTTTATTTAATTTAAGATAAAATGTTTATGGCACGGAATAAATACTGACAAAACATTAAGACCTCTTTACTTATGATTTGCTTATTTGATTCACACATATTACATTTTTTCACAAACACTGCATTATTTTCAGTATTGTTTTAAATTATTTATTTATTATATAGTAAAACCATTATTTTTAATAAATATTTCTTTATTATTAGATCGATATCGATTCTTTAGAGTGGGTAATTTCTTGAGAATTGACAATCATTTACAGTTTCATTTAGATTAATACCAGAATAAATTAGAAACAGGCAGGTAACTCAAAACACAAAATTTATCAATTTCTTTAAATTTATTGCTAACTATTAATTTCTAGACATAAAGTTATATAAATTAAATGCCGCACTAGATTAAAAATGTATTTAATCACTTTCTTTACAACTGTCGTCATCATTATCGTTGTTTATAATAATTATTATTTGACTTTCTATAATGCATTCAAAACGAATGTTTCTTTCATAGTCGTCCATAACAATTTTCTTTGTTTTCCCCACAATTTTGGCCCAATCATCCATTGCGTAGTAGCTGTATTTTCTCCAAATCCTTCTCCGGCGGATCCCACAAATTATGAGGCGCTTGCCTGTTCCCATGGTCTCGTGACATCTCTTCATGTCTGCGGCTCCATGTGGTTGATGTTTAGCAATTTTTATCAATAAATATGAAGTCGACCAAATTGGTTATATTTTTAATTTTTCGTAAAAATATTATATCTCTAAATAATTATTTTACGTTTGTCATTTTTTTGTTTTGGACGTTAATTCATTTTCAAACGTTTCTCAATGACTATACCATTCTATTTATTTTTATATGAGAGAGTGCAAAGAGCATGTGTGGCTCAGCTGATGTTTAGAACTACCGCCGCTCACGAACAACTGCAACACAAGGGGAATTGCAGACTCTAGACTTCTAAACATACTCGCAACTTCGCGGCCGTGGAATTCTTAGGAATTATTTTAAAAAAATGGAATATTTTTGACGTGATTCATATAATTTATGCAACTCTAAAAATAAAAATTTAAATAAACAATAAATTATTTAAAAAATGTATAGGTCCGAATATTTAAATATTTTTTACCGACTAGCGATCCGCCTCGGCTTCGCGCGGCTGATTTCTGGATCTCAACAACAGCGCCACCTACCGTCCAAATGCGAATTTAAATCAATACCTATGGGTTTTTTTCATACACACAAATTTTTTTATCTAAATCGGTCGAGCCGTTTTTGAGTTTTAACGAAACTATCGGACAGTAATTGATTTATATATATATATATATATATATATATATATATATATATATATATATATATATATATATATATTTATTTACGTAAACATGAATTTCTTTACACTTCGTTATAAAGGTACATAACGACATGTTATTGAAACAACTTGTAGAAAAAAAAGCTTTTTAATATTTGGCTTTGTTTGAAAGAATCGATTTTAAGCTACTAATAAAAAATATACAATTCGTAATGAAATAAAGATAACTTCCCAACTTTTTGAATTTACATAAAAGGTTATAAAAAGTTAAATTTTATTAAAATTTTAATTTGAAACGTCAATAAGTATTTTCTTAGCTTGGGTGAGGTATAATAAGCAAATAAAAATATAAGTAAATTGCTAAGAATCCCCAGAAAACAACCTCGCAAACAATACCTATGAAATGAAATTAAGCAACGTTTCATTTAATTAATAGTTATAAATTCCCTAAAAGAATTATGTGATATGAACTAAACAGTTGCAGCTGTCTCGTCCACTCTCTAACCCCAACTTCCTTGCGATGCACGACTGGCGTCGCGTTTCATCGCGTTCATTCCTCGATACGAGCGAATTAAGTATCTATGTACTAGTACAAAGCGAACGAAAGCCAGTATGCGAACGAAACAGTTCATTCTAGTACAATATCAAAAACTAATTCTTATTAATACATGCTTCATCCGTAAACTACAATGGAGGCTGGTAAGGCGCCAGAAAAAGGATTTCAAGGCATTTCTTAGTATGTTTTACTAAGTTAGGTTAGAACTCCTAAATTAAAACTGACTTATCACGAGATCTCTTAAAACTATACACCCGGTTGACTTGAAATTTAGTATAGTTACTTATTTCGCAATGTAGACGTTCACTAAAAAAGGATTTTACGATAGTCCCATAAAAAAAATTCTTGATATTTTATATGTACCTAATTATCGTCAATTATCAATCGTCCTTCGAAGCGAGCTGGTGAATCCATATATTTATTTAAATTGATTTGATAAAATATATTATGTACATAAAAAGATATGAATTATATTACATTATTCGTTTCGCGCTATGAGATGCGCGAGTATGTTGTGCAGAGGAAAACCATAACAGCTTCACTTTTTGTTAACGCCTAATTTTACTACCAGTCTTTTTAATTTAATATTTAATATATTCAGAATATCAGAATGTGTAGTGAATTAAATCCACATAATTATTGCTATGTCATTTGCGAAGCGTACCACATGTCCTTCATATTAAGTTAATTTCTTCTGAAGATTAATGAAATTCTTCCGAAAATATGTGTTTTGAATTTCGATCTAACATTTAATATATGATTTAATTCTTATAAGCTTATTACATATTTTGTATAATTCTAATATAGTTAATTATATAAAATTTATCCCACAAAAAGCCGTGGTAGCTCAGATGGTTAACGCTCGCTGTAAAATATAACAGAACGCGAGTAACCCGGGTTTGATCCCCGCCGGCACCAATGAAATTGTTAATTGCAATTTTAAGTGCTGATTTACCACGTGCTCGGCGGTGAAAGAAAACATCGTGAGGAAAGCTGCATGTCTGAGGTGTAAGGAAAAAAAATATTTCGAAGACATGTGAAGTTCGCCAACACGCATTGGGGCAGTGCGGCAGACACTTCTTCGCTTTCGGCCCTCTCAAAAATGAGGGTATATATATATATATATATATATATATATATATATATATATATACAGATAGATAGATAGATATAGATATTGGTAGGTTTTATTTAATTTATATTATGGTACGGTCGGCGACGTATCCCCTGTCATCCAGAGCCCAGTTGAACGCAAAGAGAGAGTTTAGCAGATTGGCTTTCTCCTTTGCGACATGGGCCAGTGAGTCGTCCTCCCTGTGCAGAGTTCTCTTGGACAGCCTTGGCGAGAGACCAGAATGCCACGTGCATTCTGTTCTCTCGCCAAGTAAAATAATACAACGTACATAAAATCATTTTCATGCCAAGTCCGAACAACACGACTAAGTAGAAAAGTAAATTATTTTTTTAACTATAATCTAACCTAACTCAATTTAATATTCATTATCATTATTTTTGGATCGCCCCTCGTACTTTTGATAAAAAATAAACTTTTTGTATATCTTTTTTTAAGTTTACGGATGCCAGTTGTTTGGGAAACGTATGTTCAGCAGAGACCTGAATGGCTGTATTGTAAATAACGAATTTCAATTTTATTAGTCGTTATCCTGCAAGTAAGATTAAGCTTGGTGTTGCAATTATCACAACACTTAGAAAATTTAACAGCAATGGGAAAATTGTAGAGTTAATTTTCGTTAGCACAGCATAGAGTTTGACTCACTAACTCTCCACTCTGCTATTTAACCGTCATGTTTGTTTTCTTCTTGCGCGTCAATAAACATTTTAATACCAGAAGTTGCTGGTCTTATAAAAATCTATTATAGCTGCTTTATTTAAACTATATTCTCGACTTAATCGACAGCTCCGTAGAGCACAGTGGTTAAGCATATAGTCGCGACGCTCTGAACCGCGGGTTCAAATCCCGTATGGAATAGGTGTTTGCATGGACTACCAATTATTGTGCTGGGTCTGGATGTGTGTGCTTGAACAATTTTATGTACATAAACAGCCTCCACGATACAGAAGAACATTCTATTGCGCGCGTAACGATATTTTTAATGAAATAAAAATAAAAGTTCTTTATTTATGCAGAAATAACGGCACGTTTTCAAACGGCAAGGACGGAAGTGCGTCAACTGCTGCTACAGTATCTACTGCCTTGGCTTGTCAACATCGAGTTAGTGGATCCAAATGTACCACCCGCCAATCCACTTTCCTATATACAGGTAAATATCACAATTATAAGCTTCCTTGTTGTCTTATTAAGGTTTTCTTTTTTTCTTTTTAAGGTATTAAAAACTTCAAAATTTATTTGTATTATAAAAATATTAAAAACACAGAAATCGTAATAATAAAACAATACTATTACGATTTCTGTAATTGAAAACGTTGCCTTTTAAAATAAATAGTGTTTATCAGTTAGCATAAAAGTACTACACGGCTTTTCATTCAATTGCATTAAATAAGTTTTTGGAAACAGTGAAACTCCATGAAACGCTTTTCTACTGTAATTGAATTCACTTTTCAACGTAATCAAACGAGATGATTCATTTTGTGTATTCCGTTTTGCATATTTTTCACGGAATCTGGTGTCACTAGTGTTTGGGATATTTACACGTGAAATTCCTAGATATAAACGAACTGCAACTTTTATTTAGGAATGAAATCTAAACTACCTAATTGATTTTCTAATCTACACCTGCCACAATAGCTCACCAAGCTACGGGTCGACTGGCAGAGAATGTCGACAGGCATTAACTCCGTCTATTGTTACCTTAGTTGTAAGGTGTTACTAAAGAATATACAAATAAATAAATAAAAATTATCTGTAACACCTACTTCGCATAAAATATACGCCGACGCATGTTGATATAGGCTGATTCGCTATCATCCTTTTTTAGGATAGGCCCGCGTTCAATTGCTCGATGTTTTTCTGAGCAAATACTGTTTGGACTTTCCAGAAATTTATTTGAATAAGACCTATTACGTGTGGCCCCGAAATGAGGTGTATCAGGACATACAATCTATGTTTGTTGTTAGTTTGCAGCAGATGATGGTGGTGTTTTTGCGATTATAGACTACGGTTACATTTTAAGGCGACACCGTGAAAAAATGCACCTCCTTTCATAGAATAGTATAGGACTATGACACCACTAATGAAAGTGGGATTTTGATATAGGTAAATTCATGTCTTTATCTTGAATATGATTGCTCAAAAACGCGATTGTATAATTTTGACTCGATCATAATTGTTTGCGAAAACACCTCTAAAAAATCACTATAGTTGAAATCACAACGAAATCATTTGATCTATATGCTTGGAAATCACTCAAATATATTTATAACATCAATATTCATAATTTAATTGGTCATTATTTTGATAACTTATCAATAATTTTTTAAAAAATATTTTAAGATTCTGACAATTTCTAAGCGCTTTTAATCGTCGCGGGCGCTACGCTATTTTAGATCTTATGACGGCGTTTCTTCAAGTTTTTATAGAAATTATGTATTCACTCGGATCAGTACGGCGATAGTATTTTCGATGTGTCGTCTTAAATAATTACAGGTTATGTACTGAAAGAAAAAACATTGCGAACTGTATTATAGAGCCGTTATAAGTAAGGCTATAATGTAGCCTTTTAGATACTAGGTTTGTTACAAAACAACCACTAATAATCAGGTATATTGACCACTAGGCCATATACATAATATTATATAAGAAAGCCCAAGGCCACTCGGCGAGCTATGGACAAGGCTGTGCTCGGAGTTTCCCTGTGTGATATACTTGGCTATAAGGATATTTTTAAGGCGTAATTAAAACAAAAAGAATCGACGTAGCGCATCGGATCAGTATGCTGAAGTCGCAATAGACTGGCCGTATAGCTAGATGGACCGACAAACGAGCGGGCCTAAAGGTTCTCGAGTGGCAGACTCGTAATGATAAACGAAATGTTGGGTAGGCCCTCACCAGATAAAATGACGACCTGGTAAGACGCGGTCAGTCGCGGTTGTCAATGTTTACGTGTTTGGAGGATGCCATTGATGGACCATTAAAGCCCAATTGAAAGTGTATCATGTGCGTTCGGCTTGGTTGATTGCTGAACTGTTATGATTATTAAAAAGTCAAATGCGTCGCTCATAAATATTATGATTTCAAGTGTAGCATTCCTTGCAAAAATGACTGTCATTTGCTGTCATTGTATGTTAATGGAGGATGCGTCAATTGCTTCAAAAAAATTTTTTTTCATTTGCCGCCAAAGCCTTAATAATATTGACAATCGCTTCAATGACATAAAGTAAATACATCAACGCTCGATTCAATAAGTGTCATTCACATAGATATAAGAAAACCGTTTCGGAGCTCGGTCAAAAATAAGAAACTCCTATAATGAAGGCTCACGTTTTTAATTACGTGAATTAGGCAAGTATTTCACATTACTTTCATTGCCACCGAAACCGCCTTATACAAATTAACAAAACTGCAAAATCTGTAATATTTAAAACTTTTAAACGAATTTTTAAAAGTTCCAAAGACCTGAACTTATTGAGAAATCTGCTAACAATCTGAAAAAGGTACAAGTATTTCTTGTTGCCTAAAGTCTTATTGCACATATTTCGTAAACGAAAAGTCTGTCGTTGGCTCAATCCTAAGTACTACAAAAGTAGGTACATGAACATGAAAAAAATTTTGAACGTTTTTCTAGTAATTATTGTAAAAGATGGGAAATAAAACTTATATGGAGATGTACAGAAATACGTGGCTATAAACTATGACAGTTAAGTGCTCAATGTAATATCACATTGCACAAGCAACAACAGTTCGACGCCGCGATCAAATTTTAATTCCGATTTTGCCACGTGTTCGGAAAAGAAGAAAATAATAATTTTGAGGAATCCTGCATGTCTAATAAAAATATTTTCGAGTTCATATAAATTCTGGCGGCATTCTGAAGCGCCCGGCGGATTGGCTACCTAAAGTACCTACTAAAGTACTAAAGTACCTGTATGAATATACAGGTACTTTTCTTTCGATACCAGATATTGAAAGAATTCATTTGATGCTAAAATTACTTCTAGTACTTGTATCGAATCATACCTAGTCTCACGCAAACCTAGTTTATGCAACCTACTATTAACATGTAAATATCTACTGTTATTTGATGTTTGTGTGCGATTTTTTTTATGTTACCCACACACTAGGTTTTTCTCTTGTAACGTGCAAACATTTTTGAATAGCAATAGGAAGAAGCAGAGGAGATAATGAATACTCAATATAAATTAGCAATAATCAACGATTATGAGTAAGGTCAAAAGACAACAACTAAATGCTAGCTTATAAATATATAGTATATATGTATAATATTTTTATATGAGTTCGATATACGTGGTAGAGCAGATTAGATAAAGCAGACAGCACGTCAAATAGCAGCAAATCACTGCTATGTTTCGTACGGCGAGTTTTGAGCTGATGGCAAGGCGTTGGACCTCATGGGTGCCATCGCACCTGCAATTTGATATTCAATCGATGGTAGATGTAATAGGTGTCTGTGGGAACTAGGTTGCGTGGTCATTTGTCCATTCCTGGTGCAGCACACCACGTTTATATAACTAAAACTTACTGATCTTTGACTGAAACATACATATTACTTACAATTTGGGAAAGGGTTTATTCAATTACTATACTTAATATGGTACGTAGAATCCTAAAATTTGTAAATAAACCGTTTATATTTTTGAGTCATTTTTGTCATACTGACTTAGGCAACTTGAATTTAGCATCAAGGTAAATAAAACCCATACACAGGAAAAATCTGAAAACTACAAATTTATCGATTTCGGTATATTGACGCAAGTGCTGTACTTGAAATTGAATTTTAGTTTTTATAATATGTAGTTTAAATTAAAAATGGAAGACAGTGAAGCGTAAATGCGGGAAAAAGCCTTCATATCATTCATGTATTTATTTAGAGTAATAAAAGGATAAAAAATGTATGATATCCCTCCAAAAACACAAACATGAAAATGAGACAAACGTCAGTACAAACGACGTTTTTGTTATGTATATAATGTTTACTTATGTTAATTTTTTTTACTAATATCATAAATCTTTGCAGTACTATGCGGCAGAAGGTGGGCGCAGTGTAAGGCGCGAAGGACTCGGCTCCGCTGAGGCCACTGAAATGGTCCTCAATAACTTATTTTACATAACTGCAAAGGTACGTTAACACATAACATGTATCTATTTGGGTAACTTTTCATATCTGTGATTTCTGATTCAGAAAAATCATCTGACTTCACTGTACGGCATGTTATCCGGTGCAAAATTTTACACCCATTTGTTCTGTGGATGCCAGGGGTCGCAAAATGGAAATGATTATCAAATTTATTCATATTCAGAATAAAAGCTCGAACATCGTCATCGTTGCAATTCATCACAGTCCAATTTTGAACAAAAGGTTTCATTTATTACTGCCACTAAGCACTGTCCTTAGGTACTCTAATATTTTGATGATGATTTCGTAAATTATTCAAATATTGATTTTTGAATGGCAGCAGCAGACAAATCCTATAAATTAATATGTAACAATATTCAGATCCAAACAACTGGTGAGGGTATAATTACAGGCTGTCAGGCGCAGTTAAGCTTGTCAGAGCTCGATCACACCCTAGGGATAAATGTACACTCCAATTTTTTCAATTAAAACCTCCCTTTTAAAACTCAGGTCATATTAACGTCAGTATTGCTAGCTTTTAGCTTAAGGTTACTATATTTAAACTAAGTAATGCTTTATGTAAACCAAACAATGGGTTAGGATATTGAATCCAAACCTATTGTTTAGTTTAAATAAAGCCGTCCGTCTTGTATTACGGTGTACACTGTTTATCTATAGACATGAAAACATATTCACCGCAATGCCGTTCGATTTCTTTCATTTTTATTATAAGTTAATTGAAAATAAACGACTATAATAACATCTTTCTGGTTACATTGTGGAATATTTGCAAGGTGCACGCTACCATTTTTGAATAAGCATGCAGCTATATGTCGGCTTGACCGGGGTAAGATCACGCTCTCACAGAATACCAGCGTAAAATAGCAGTTTAATGTGCTTTGTATGGATAGTGTAGAAAACCGGAAATCCGTTTTACTGGAATCGAGGCAGGCTTCTGTCACTCTTGCTACCTGCGTGAAGTAATTAGTTACCTACAATCGAGGCGCCCCGGGCTTCATATGCAGTCGAGGCTAGCGCGTTGTAGGCGATGAAATGTAAAAATTTTTATTCTATTTACTATTAAATTTTCCTTTGTAAATACTTGTTGAAATAGTTTTGCGTGGATGGATGCTAAATGACTAACAAAAAGTTTGATATATCATTCTTTAAGTTATCGAAGGATTTTAATAGGAAGTTTGAAAGGTGAATATATTTGTTTTGTTAGATAGGTTCATCATCATCATCATTACAGCCCTTCACAAGTCCACTGCTGAACATAGGCCTCCCCCAAGTAATGCCACAAAGCACGGTCCTGAGCCACCTGCATCCATCGACTTCCTGCATGTCTTACCAGGTCGTCACTCCATCTAGTGGGGGGTCGCCCTACACTACGCCTACCGGTACGAGGCTGCCACTCGAGAACCTTTCTTCCCCATCGGTTATCGGTTCTTCGAGCTATATGGCCGGCCCATTGCCACTTCAGCTTACTAATCCGTTGGGCTATGTCGATCACTCTGGTTTTACTGCGGATGTCCCCATTTCTGAGTCTATCACGCAGAGAAACTCCAAGCATAGCCCTCTCCATAGCTCGCTGAGCGACCTTAAGCGTCCTCATACGGCCAGCAGTGAAGGACCACGTCTCAGATCCGTAAGTCATCACTGGCAACACGCACTGGTTGTACAATCTAGTTTTTAGAGATTGAGGTATACCTGACGAAAAGATATGTCGTAATTTCCCGAACGCTGCCCAGCCGAGTTGAATCCGTCGATTGACCTCTCGGTCGAAGTTGGACTTACCTAGTCGGACTATTTGTCCCAGGTAAACGTACTCGTCAACAACTTCGAGCATAGTGCTCCCAACAACTACCGGCATAGGTGTGACATGGACATTAAACATGATCTTTGTTTTGTCCATGTTCATCTTAAGACCTATCCGTTGGGACACTATTGAGGTCATTGAGCATAGTGCTTAAGTCCTCCAGCGATTCTGCCATAATGACTATATCGTCGGCAAATCGAAGGTGAGTGATGTACTCGCCATTGATGTTAATACCGTATCCTTTCCAGTCCAGTAGCTTGAAAACGTCTTCCAACGCAGCGGTGAAGAGTTTCGGGGATATAACATCACCCTGTCTTACACCTCTCTGCAGTTGGATAGGTTTCGAACTCTGGTTCTGTACTCGGATAGCCATCGTAGCCCTACTGTACAAACACTTCAGCACTTCGATGTACCGACAGTCAACTTGGCACCGCTGAAGGGACTGTAGCACCGCCCAAATTTCGACGGAATCAAAGGCTTTCTCATTAATTTTTAGATTGTTAGATAGGTTATTATAGCAAAAATAATTAAGTAATACTTTATCTATCCTATACTATTAAACGAGCAATTCTTGTATATATATATATAGATTTAAGTTTAGCCCTGCGACAATGTCTTGGGATCGAAAGAAGCCAGACACAGCTTCCTCCACTAACGATTTCGTTACTTCGGTTCTATTGGTTGGTTGACAGATTATGGTAACGATGATACTACTATGTTTTAGTCTGAAGCCAATCAGTCACAACTAATTTACAGTTACGGAGTTTTAGAGGATAGATGTGTAGCTTATTCAACAGGTTGTATAAGTGGGAAGCCTGCCTTGCATACTGCCTCTTACTAAAAACGGATCTAAGTAGGACAGTTGGAGCGACCAAATAGCATATTCTGCTACTTTTATTCGGATTTTTGGGATCATACATGGGATTTGTGTTTTTTCAGAATAAGATGGTGTAGGTAAAGTTTTTTTTACGGACAGTAGATTAGAGGTTTAGGTAAAGGCTTTTTGGTTGGAAATCTATAGGGTTTAAAGAGTATAACCTTGAGCAGAGATCGCTGCGCTTTGTCAAGTCATAAAAATTAAATTTTTGTTGTCTCACCGCAAACAGATACAGATACCTAAAGATTTATTGAACCAATGATACGTAGACTTTCTGCAAAAGATTCTATGAGGCATGAGGATTCAGTATGCATGTGCCAGGACAGGCGTTAGTCGATCATGTTGCCCGGGTATTTCAGTGTACTGTAACCTATCAATGTTTGTACAAGAGCAGTCAGGAATTGGGGGTTAGCACAGTGGTGGATCTTTATTTGGAATTCGTGTGGTGGTGGTGTGTGTGTGTGTGTATACTTGGTGAAGCATATATAATTGGACTTGGAGGCATTTAGTGTGAGGAGGTTACGATTGAGGCAGTCGGAAATCTTTAGCAGCCTGTTTTTGGATGATTTTGTCCAAGTCTTTTCGGTAAAGGCCATAGTGGTATCAGCGTATGAGAAAATGCGACCTCCGTCAATAATCATATTGCATAGGTTTTATATATATAACCTATGCACATTAAGTTGTTTGTATACTTGTTTTCACCCCTACTCCTATAAATAGATTAACATCAAATCTCTTACACGATAGGTCGCGAATTTGCACACAAAACGAATAGAGACGCGATGGTTCAGTAGAAAGTGTTTTCACTTTACGACATAAGCGTGCGAATTCGATTTCGATGTATATTCGGTACAATAGCTTGAAGATGAAAACAATAGTAACATCCACCCAATACGGTATACAACACACCAGGTGACATTTCGTTACCATACACCCGCTTTTATTTTTTCGGATAAGCAGGGTTTCATCGAGGGCTGCTTGAGAATAAATATTATTTCACACAAAACATTTACGTCTTACGTCTGAGAAAGAGAATTCCTTGTGTATCTATCATATTGTTTCACAAATATACAATGAGTTAGATTTTTTTTAATTAAGGGTGCAAACTCCGTTACCTGCCTGTATAGTATGACGTATCAAAATCACCATATTTTGAACTCCCTATAGCTCAATTTCTATATATATATATATATATATATATTATATATATATATATATATATATATATATATATATATATATATATATATATAGAAACAATGTCGGACTAAGGACACTCCCCTGCGCGACGCCGTACGAAATTGTTAAATAATTCGCCACTGCACTCACTTCTGCAACATAAAGTGGCTTTGCAATTTGTTGTCTTACATATTGCAAATAAGCCAATTATTATGTTGTGCGTCCACGTGGTAAATTCGCCTTCATGTTCCATAAAATGAACTATTTACTAAGTGTGATGTCCTAAAATGCGCTTTTTAATATATTATAAATACAAAGAAAAATTAAAAGGTGCGAAAAAACTTCACAACCGTAGCATGTGATGCTGTTATAGGTGTAATTCTGACTATACAAGATGTTGTCTTTTAAAAGTATTTTTTATTTATATGAAAAGAAACTATAGAGAACAAAGTTGGAGAATCGAAATTATGATATATTTATAGTTATAGTAATATTTTTAAATTATAAAAGCATACTAATTTCAGATATAATTGGCGTTTAAAAAAATTACACGCGGAGTGTATAGCAGTCTGAATAACATTTATGAATAGTTCGTAAATCGTACATGATTATAAATGCAACGTCAAAATCGCAATGTCATTTACACATAATTCAACAATATTTTTATTTAAGATTAATTATTAAATAATTGTGTTTTTTTAGTAAAAATAGTTTACATCTTCTAAGTATTTTACAAAATATGCATTATTTCCCCCCACAATACCTTTAAGAACCTACTTGGAACATTTTATTGTGATTTCCTTGTAGATGAAAGAAACGATCTTTTTTTGAGCTGTTTGCTCTGGTTATCTCATTCCCGACTAATATAATCTGTTCTAGCAATTTTGCAGGGAAATGTTTTGATTTGAGCAAAAGAAAGTTGTTGATAAATAAAATTCCGACTTAAAAACTAGACGTGAGTAATTTAGTATTACATTTTTTTATAGAAGAGGGGGCAAACGAGCATGCGGCTCACCTGATGTTAAGTGACTACCGCCGCCCATGATGAACGACATTATGATGAACCGCAACACCAGGGGAATTGCAGGTGCGTTGCCGGCCCTTTAGAAAGGAGTAAGCTCTTTTCTT